CCGCGGGCTGGCGACCCCCCGCCTCTGGTGCCAAGTGGGACCGAGGCAAGGCGCCACCATGGGTCCCACTGTGCCGCCGCCACCTCGCCTCCGTAGCCCTGAGCAGCCCGGGAGGGGCCGGCGCAGGTCTCATTTATCCCGGGGCGGGCCCTGGGGCCGACCTGTCCTGAGTCCCCGCCCGCGCACGGCTTAGTGGCCTCTCCCCGCAGCCCGTCATTGGCAGCGGCGGCATGGTCTTCTGTCTGGAGAACGAGGAGCCGCGCCTCCCCCTGCGAAGCGCCATGGTCCACTTCCAGGCCTCGGAAGTCCAGCAGCTGCTACACAACAAGTTCGTGGTCATCTTGGGGGACTCAAGTGAGTGCCCCTCTAGGTTCACACTACCCAGCCCCGCACCTTCAGTCTGTTTTCTATGACTGGACCCTTTGTCACCATCCCAAATCTCCTTTCTGACCCCTAGTCTCTTCCAGTCCAGTAGGTGTTCTGTTTTTTATTTCCCCATGCAATCTTCCACAGGTGTCCTGACCGATGTAGTCTGTCACATTTTTTACCCCATCCTTGCTCAGCATTTTCCTCCCTGACAGTCTCCCATACTTTCCTTCATGGGAGCAGTGGATTGTGTTGTCTGTCTCCTGGGTGACTTGGCGACTTACTTCTCCCAGGTGATTGGGCCACTGTGTACTAAGTTGGGGGTGGTGCACCGCCAGAGGCAGAGGTAGTACCAGGATTTTTTTAACCTCACCTTTTCTCCTGCCTCTGTAATGAGCTCCACAGAGGTGGTGTTGGGCAGCCCCAGCCTTGGGAAGATGGGAGGCCTGGACTTAGGAGGAGCTAGGGTGGGGTGAGGCTTGTTTTAGCCTCAGGATCTCTGTCTCCCTGCAGTCCAGCGGGCTGTGTACAAGGACCTGGTGCTCTTGCTCCAGAGGGACTCACTGCTCACAGCCGCCCAGTTGAAAGCCAAGGTGAGGGAAGCTTGGTAGCCACGCCAGTGGTGGGTGGGCACAGACCCTGGCCTGGCAGGGTCTTCCTCCCTGGCATGGGTCTGACCAGCTGGGTGGGGGGGGGGGCAGGGGGAGCTGAGCTTTGAACAGGACCAGCTGGTGGCTGGGGGTCAGCTGGGCGAGCTACACAACGGGACACAGTACCGGGAGGTCCGCCAGTTCTGCTCGGGTTCTGGCCACCACCTTGTGCGCTTCTACTTCCTCACCCGCGTTTACTCCGAGTACCTCGAGGGCGTCCTGGAGGAGCTGACATATGGGCCTGCCCCGGACCTGGTGATCATCAACTCCTGCCTCTGGGATCTCTCCAGGTTGGGGCGGGGGGAGAGGGAAATACTGGTTGGGGGTGGAGGTATGGCTCAGAGGCTATCCACCCTGTGCTCTTGCCCACCCTACGTGCTGTCCGACAGGTATGGCCGCTGCTCAATGGAGAGCTACCGGGAGAACCTGGAGCGGGTGTTTGTGCGCATGGACCAGGTGTTGCCAGATTCGTGCCTGCTGGTGTGGAACATGGCCATGCCCTTGGGGGAGCGTGTCACTGGGGGTTTCCTTCTGCCAGAGGCAAGTGACTGACGCCCTTCAGGATGGGGGAGGAGGCAGCTGACTGGTAGACAGAGAGCCTTCCCTCCCGACCCTGCTTCATTGTGCGGCTCTTAGATGCTGCACTTTCTTACTCAGCTCCAGCCCCTGGCAGGGTCTCTGCGGCGGGATGTGGTTGAAGGGAACTTCTACAGTGCAACACTGGCCGGGGACCACTGCTTTGATGTCCTCGACCTCCACTTTCATTTTCGGCATGCGGTACAGCACCGTCACCGGGACGGTGTCCACTGGGACCAACACGCACACCGCCACCTCTCACACTTGCTTCTGACCCATGTGGCCGACGCCTGGGGCGTGGAGCTGCCCAAGCGTGACTATCCCTCTGGTGAGCCCTACCACAAGGGAGTAGGAGAGTGATGCAGAGGGGGTTCTTAGAGCATAGGGCTCAGAAACAGAATAGGACAGAGTACTCAGGGAGTAGAGGCCTCTTGAAGGATTGTTGTGGCTCCTGAGTGCACCTTTCTCATCCCCTGGGGAGGGTGAGATCACGGGAGCAACATTTTGATCCAAGTTCTGGTTCCATATGGTCTAGCATATAGTCATCTCTGTACGTGAGTTCATGTAAGCTTTGAGCACGTAAGGCAGCATGTCAAAAGACCCCTATCCCACAGATGAATAGGGAAGAAATGGGGGGACTTCTAGCTAGGCATGGGGTTAGGAGGGTGGAAAGACGGAAATGGAGGAAGGGCAGTCATTCGATGTTGCAGAAGCAAAGAAACCCCTCAGCTGGTGCTGTCAGGCCTCTCAGTTCCTGCTTGCTCTCAAAAGGAGCATGGTGGCTGATTGTTTCCATGTCTGCTTTCCCCCTGGATCATGTCCTTAAAGGGCGAGGTTCCTACCTTGTTGCCAGCTCATCCCTTTTGGCCTTGGTGTCTAGCACAATTGCTATGTACATGGTACCTACAGGGTAGTGTTTGTTGAGTTGGGGGCACAAGTCATGTTAGAAGGCTGTTTATAGCAGCACTAGAGGGTGTGAGGACACAGAAGCCAGGAATGTCACGGAGGTAAACTAGGACTTGGTAGCCAGGAGTCGGAGCCTTGAGGAGGTGGATTAGGACTTTGATTATATAATGGTTGGGTTTCCTTGTTTTTTAGATGATAACTAATCCCCAGCGAAGAGAGGGGTGCTCTAATGGTTGTAAGGCTAGTTTGTGGTGGCTTAGGTCTTCTGAACTCAGTTTGGAGGTCCAGAAATAGGGATGTGAAAAGGAAGAGTGAGGTGGGAGGATGTGACTGGTGAGTTTGGTTCAGGCAGACCTCTGAGGTGCTGTGGGTTGTGAGACCCATAACATGACAGGGTCTCGTGGTGTCTAGAGAGAAGACTTCTTAGGCTCATTTGTTGGTCTGTGGGGAGGAACTAGGAGAGGAAAAAGCTACAGATACAGGAACCGGGCATACAAAGGGAGAAGGCTCTAGAGGGGAGCATGAGGTCAGAGCAAAGGCAGATCTGTGACTTTGAGAAAGGCAAGGAAGAAGAAACATACCCTGGGCTTGGCCTGAAATGAGAGAGGATGAGGAAGATGGGGTAGGAAGCAGAGGGTGCCCCCGCCTGGTGGCCTTTTTCTCCAGTAGGAGGGAAGAGAGGTTTAAGAGTGTGGACAACCAGAATTCTGGGCGGCCTGGCTCTCAGGCCTAAAACAAACAACCATCCCGTTCTTAGACCCGTGGATTGAGGACTGGCGAGAGCCGGATCATCCGTTCCAGGGGAGCCATGGGCAGCCCCCAGACTTCGGGGAGCAGCTGGCCTTGCCCCCACCCCAGCTCTCTCCCCTGCCCCCTCCCATGCCTTTCCCCTACCCCATTCCTCAGCCCTCGCCACCTCCCTTGTTTCCACCCCTGCCCCAGGACACCCCTTTTTTCCCAGGCCAGCCCTTCCCACCCCACGAATTCTTCAATTATAATTCAACAGAAGACTTCTCGATGTCATCCCACTTAGGTAGGTGCCTCCGCAGTCTCCCCTCCCACCTCTCCCAGCCTCCCTGTGCACCTTCCCCAGCCTAGCCTCCCGTGCCCAGGTGGACTGAGAGGAGTTGGGTAGCTCCTTGTGCCCCCAGGATTGGGTTCAGTCACTGCTGGATCTACAATAACATCTGTAGACTCGTTAATCAACTCTTTGATTGTCATAATTTGCTGATTTGGAGGTAGGGGAAGTGGTGTTGCCATTTTGTAGATGGGGAAACAGAAGCCCAGAGAAGCTCACCCTGGAGGATTAAAGCTGCCCGGAGGCAGAGCTGGGCTCACCTGGTCAGAAGCCCGCTCTCTGATAATGGCTGGTTCTTTTGTAGGATGTGGCCCTGGAGTGAACTTTGTGCCTGGCCCCCTGCCACCTCCAGTCCCTGGCCCTATCCCCCATGGTCAGCACCGGGGCCCAGTGGTCCACCGGGGGATGCCACGCTGTGCTCCCAACAGCCCCTACCACGTGCCGAGGATGGGGGGGCCCTGCAGGCAGCGGCTCAGACACTCAGACAGACTGATCCACACAAACAAACTGGACAGACAGCCTCCTGCCCATTCGGGGACATGGCCTGGGTAGACTGGATCTTGGACTGGGGCTGGATGTGCCAGTGGCCCTACAGGGCCTGCTTGCCACCCCCGGTGCTGGGTCAGGGTGTCTGTTATGCCTGGCATTGTTCTTGTCCATTGCTGTCACTAATAAAGGCATGGAAGAACAGAGTGGCATCTTCCTGTGTGAGGGGATGGGTTTCCCAAACCATGATCTGAAGAGTTGGGGAGCTGCCTCTGGGCCCTCTCCAGCCTTGGCCCTTTCACCTCAC